GGTACCTTTAGGCAGTCAGGATGTGAGGTGGGTCCCTGGAGATATGACTTTGGGCTATATAATTTGTCCCTGGTGAGTGGAGCTCACTGTCTGCTTCCTTTCTGCCGTGTCCTGAGCTGCTTTCCTCCTCTGCACACTTCTGCTGTGATGTTCTGCTTCACCTTTTGAGTCAAGAGCAATGGAGTTGGCCATCTATGGACTGAGACTTACAAAACTGGGAGCCCCAAATAAACTTTTCTTCCTCTAAAATTGTTCTTGTCGGGTCTTTTGGTCACAGGGATGAAAAGGCGGACTAAAACACCATGTACAGATACAGATCTGTAAGTATTTGTGTATGTAGCCAGCTCTATCAACTAACTAGGTCCTCTTGTTTGATGTGCATTGTAAATCAGCTTGTCCATTTAATAGCCTGCCTGTGGAGACTCTGACCTAGCAATGTTGAATCTTCCAAATCAGGAAGTTCATGGATCTCCCCAAGTATTGATGACTTTAATTTCTCTCCATGATGCTTCATAATACGTATTTTGTTAAATCTGCCCATAATTATTTTATGTTTTTGTTTGTGCTTGAGTATGTGACCTTGTTATGGATGGAATCCTCACATTAAACTTTTACTTTCCAATTGTTCATGCTGCTTTTTAACAGCCTATTTACTTATGTACTTATTTTGGTGCTGGGATCTGAACAAGAGCCTAACACATGCTAAGCACACACTGCCATTGAGCTACACCTGCCTATTTTTTATGTGTAGTGAATTTGCTCACATTGCATATTATTTTTAGTTTTATTTTAGTTCTGAGGGTTGCTTTGTAGACTCCTTAGGGTGTTATACACTGACAAGGTGTCATCTGAAAATAGAGAGATTTTAATATTTGTATTCCATTTGTTCCTTGCCTTTGCATTGCCTAGGACCTGCAAAACAGTTACATAGGAGCAGTGAACGAAAACTTTCTTGCTGTGTTCCTAATTAAGATCAGGATGTTAAGCTATGTTAAGATATGTCAGCTGCAGGTTTTTCATAGGTGCACTTTATTGGTGGATGAAATTCTCTTACATCCCTAGTTTGCTGAGAGTTTTGTCACAAATGAATATTAAATTCTGTGTAATTTTTTCCTGCGTCTATGGACTGATGATGGTGATATTTCTCCTTTGTTTTGTTACATTGGGAGAAAATGTGAATGTGAATGATACTGGCTTTCAAATGTTAACCTTTCATTCTTGGAATAAATCCTACTTGGTCCTGATGTATTGTTATCATTTTAATATATTGTTGGATTTGTTTTTCTCTATTTTGATTTTGTATCTTTATTTGTAAGGATGATTTATAGTTGTATTTTTTTTTTGAGAGGGAGAGGGAGAGAGAGAGAGAGAGAGAGAGAGAGAGAGAGAGAGAATTTTTTAATATTTATTTTCCAGTTTTCGGCAGACACAACATCTTTGTTTGTATGTGGTGCTGAGGATCGAACCCGGGCCACACTCATGCCAGGCGAGCGCGCTACCATTTGAGCCACATCCCCAGCCCAATATAGTTGTATTTTTTTGTAATTCCTTTGTCAAATTTTGGATTCAAGTTCATTCTGTCATTATAAAGTAAGCTGGGAGGCACTACTCCTCTGGAACATTTGGGTAGGACTGGTGTTATTTGAAATGTTTACTAGAATTCACTAATGAGACATCTGAACCTGGAGTTTTCTTTGTGGGATTTTTGTTTTGGTAATTATTTTAACTTTTTAAATAGATACAGGGCCATTTTGTCATCTTGTGTCAGTTTTGGTAAGTTCACACTTTTTAAACAATTTATCTTTTTCTTTGAAGTCAAATTTCTTAGCATAAAGTTATTTTTGAAGTTCACATATTATCTTTTTAGTTTATGAAGGATATGTGGTGATTTCCTCTCTTCTGTTATTCATACCGGCATTTCATATTTTCTTAATATTCCTTGCTAAAGATTTTTCGGTTGTATTAGTGTTTTTTTTTTTTTTAAAGCAACCTTTCATTTGTTTTCTAATTTACTGATTTCTTCTCTTTATGTTATTTATTTCCATCTACTTCTTTGGGACCTAATTTCCTTTTTTTTTCCCCCTTCCAAGTTTCTTAAGGAAGAAACTTAGGATGATTTTGATCTTCCTTTTTTTTTAATATAAGCTTTTAAAATATAGAGTTTCTTCTAAGCACCGCTGTTAGCTCCATATCACAAATTCTGATGTATTATGTTTTCATTATCATTTATTAGAAATATTTTCTAATTTTAGTTTGTTCTTTGATTTATGTATTAGTTATAAATGTGCTATTTTTCATTTAACATATTTAAGGATTTTCCAAGTGTCTGCCAGTTATTGATCTCTAATCAAATGGCAGGAGAGCTTCTGAATTTTAAGTCAATAGGAACTTGTTTATTGGCCTAGCACATGACCTATCTTGGTGGACATTGATTTGTACTTGGAAAGAGAATGTATTCTGTAGTTATTGCATTTAGTGGTCTATAAATGTCAACTCAATGAAGTTAGTTAACAAGGTTGTTCAGATACTTATATCCTTACTGTTTTTTTGTTACCTGCTTAATCAATTACTGAGAGAGGGGTGTATATATTTCCAGCTAAGGTTTGGACTTTTCTGTTTCTCCTCTCAGTTTTGTCAGTTTTGCTTTCTGTATTTTGTTTCTTTGTTTTTAGGGACATAAGCATTATGACTTTAATGTCTTCCTGATGAACTGGACCTTTTATAGTTACAAAGTGTTTCTCTATAGCAGTATTCCTTAACTTGAAGCCTATTTTGTATGACATTAGTGTAGTAAGTTTCTATTTTTTATGCTCACTGTTTATGCTGGAGATCTTTTCATTCTTTCAAGTGCCTCTTTTATAGGCAGATAGTTGGATATTTTTTCTAAGCCAGTGTGATCATTTCTGCCTTTAGTTGCAGTGTTCGGCTTATTTATATTTAATGTTATTATCGAATTGATCTGATTTAGTCTACCAACCTTCTGTTTGTCCCATTTGATTTTAGTTCTGCCGTTCCTCCTTTCTTTCCTTATTTTGGAATAATTGAATATTTTTTGTATTCTAATATTTCTGTTGGTTTGTTTCTCATACCTCTTTTTAAATTATTATTTTAGTGGCCATCATAGGGATTATAACTTATTAGTCCATTTAGAGACTGGTCTTACTTTCTCACATATAGTTATAATCATGTGCACAAATCATTTCACTTGCCCTTTCCATATATTTATATCTACATATGTTATAAACCCCATAGTATCATAGTTTTTGCCTTAAGCAGTCTTTTAAAGAAATCAGGGGAAGAAAGTACATAATGTATTAAATTATTTAAATTTACAATTTTCTAGTAGGCTTTCTTTAATTCTAAATTTTCATCTGGTGTGATTTATTTTCAGCCTAGTAACAATTTATCTTAGTTTTTATTACGCCTTCATTTTGAAGTGTATTTTTCCTGCCTATGTAATTTTGAATAGGTATCTTTTCTTTCAACCTTTTCAATGTGTCATGCCATTGTCTTCTGATTTTCATGGTCTTTGAAAATTGATTGGAATTATTTCTTCCATTACTCTATAGTTGTTCCCTGATATTTAAGTATCATTTTTTTTAGTACCAGCTTTCAGTGTTTTCTTTTGTTTTCAGACGTTTGAATATGGTCAATCCAAGTATGATCTTTGTATTTTTCTTGCTTGGGGTTTTCTGATCCACTTATACCAGAACATTTATGTTAAACCAATTTGGGGAACTTTTCAATCATCTTATTTTCAAATATTTCTAATTTTCTGACATTTTGTTCTTTTCTCTTTCTGGGGCTCAGCTTACACATTTGTTGTGCAACTTGGTGATGTCTCACAGATTATTGAGGCTCTATTTGCTATTTTAAATTTATTTTTTTGTCTGTTCTTCAGATAAGACAATTTTATATTAATGTTCTTTACATAAGATAGTTTATATTAACATTCTTTATCTTAAATGACCTGTTCTTCTCTTATCTTCAATCTGATGTTAAGCTCATTCAGTAAAATGTTCATTTCAGATAGTTTGTTTTTGAATTCTAGAATTTTTGTTTGGTTCTTTTTTCTTTCTCTGTAGAGATTCCCAATCTATTTATTATGATCATGATTTCTCTTAATATTCTCAAGCATATTTTCACTAGCTGCTTTAAAGTTCTTACCTGCTGATTCTAACATCTAGATTGGTTTCTAGTGACTGTTTTCTCTTGACTGTGGGTTAGTGGCAAACATAAGGCAACTATGTCTTCTCATGTATAGTTTTTGTTGCTGTTATTGATGTAGATGACATCATGTATTGAGTCTGGATCATGACATCTTCCTTTAAAAGGTATTGAGCTTTGTTTTGGCAGTCAGTTAAATTATTGCCCAATCCTTATAGTTTTGTTATTATTATTATTATTATTATTATTATTATTATTATTATTATTACAATCCTATTAGAGGAAGTCTATTTCAGTTTTGAATTTAATTTTAGGGTATATTTCCTTTCTCTAGAGCTTAGTCTTTAAACTAAGACAGGCTTTTGAATGTCGATGCACTCAGTAAGTTCTTTTAACCTGGCTTGGTGAATCTTCGATGTTTTTCAGTGTTGTATGGTCTCTGGTGTGGCTTGCTGTCCATCTCCTAGTGCTATAGCCAGTGATCTTTCTTAGGATGCCTCACCTGTGTATGTGCTGCTCGGTTTTTGGCTAAAGACCTGCAGTGAATGCTCATGACAAATTCTGAAACTCCCTTTTTCATAGCTCCCTCTTTCCAGCTACCCTGCCCCACAAATCCATCTGCTTCCTCAGCTCAGTAAGAACGATCACCACTCTGCTTGGGACCCATCTCCCTATTTTGAGGCTCTCAAGTATTCCTAAAGTAGAAAGCTAGGAAACATGGGATTCAACTTGTGAGTCTCCTTTCTCCCAAGGATCATAGTCCTGTGCTATTCCATGCTTGAAAGGACTGCCTCGTATTTTATTCTATTTATAAATTTTGGCAGGAGGTCGAGTCAATTATCCTAGAAATGAAAAGCTATGTGATAGTCAATGTTAAATGAGTTAAGATGTTAAAAAAAAGTTTTGTATAAACAATAAGTCTCTAAGCAAACACCTATATTACAGTGATATCTTTATTCAGCAAGGATTGGTAATCACGCAGACTTTTATGTATCATAAAACTGACTACACACCACACACAAGAGTATGCACATGTACACACACACACACACACACACACAAGATATATTCACTTTTTTCTTCCCCTAGTCTCTCCTGTCTTCACCCCACCAATTGTTTTCAGTTAAACTTCAGCTGTTCTTTTCTTTATGTAAGGGAGAAATTTATGGGAAAAGAAAGGAACTCTTGTAGTCTGTGGGTGGGAAATATTCAGTCTGTTTTTTTCTCTTCTTCAAGGTTTAACTCTCTTTCTATGAGGGAGCAAAAGTCTGATTATTCCCAAATGATCATTTTAGTGCTGCTCTACCTACTTTTGTAGGTGTTCAGGTGGCGTGATCCAGGAGCAAACACCTGCCCCATCCCTTTTATTTCTGAAATACCATGGAGGGGTAAAACCTACAAGCTCAGGCCAAGTCATTCGTGCTTACCAGTCTTAAGGACCAGAGATCCCCACTAGGGCACAGGTAGTTAATTAAGAGATCTTTAATGGGAGGGAGCATCACAGATAATGTGGTCCATTCTACTTCACTGTTTCCAAGGGAAGAGACTGGAGAAGTGAGAGGACTTGCCCAAGGTCACAGTTGGTAACAGATTCCAGAAGACACCACTGGCCTTTCAACGTTTTCTAATCTATGTTGCAGCATGAATTTACACAACCTGAGAATCTACAAATACATTCAGGGGGCCACACTAGATGCAAAAGTAGGAAATAAGGCAGAACAGACTGGAGGAAGCCCGGGCCGCAGAACCAGGCTGTAACCCCCACCCCATACAGCTGCACATTTGATACTTAGTCTGAATAAAGTACTAAGTGAAAACGGATCACCCAGGGACACTGCAAGTAGAGCCTTTAAACTAGAAAGTCTATGCTCTGCCAAAGAAATAATTGCAAATGGTGACCAACATAAAAAGAAACTCACTGATCCAAAAATGTTGCCTCTGAAATCCATACAGAGGAATCTCCTACTCATCACACCTGTGATCACCACAAAGCCAGCATCCTCTGATCTGATCAGCAGGGCACCTGTGGAGAAAATTATTCAGGTCACAGACTCAAGTTTCCACCTCATGAAACCTCCTTGTGGGGAAGACTTCACATAAATCCCTTCCTGCTTGTTCCCCCTCATTTCCTGTGGCCCCTTTCCCTGCTCATTCACTCCCACTTCGTCCTCTTACCTGTATGGGGACCAATGGAGCTCACCACTTTCTTCTTTTTATTTTTTAATATTTTTTTTTTTTTAGCTGTTGATGGACCTTTATTTTCTTCATGTATTTATATGTGCTGCTGAGAATCGAACCCAGTGCCTCTCATACGCCCGGCAAGTGCGCTACCGCTCATCCCCAGCCCCAGCCCCTCACCACTTTCTTTTTCCTGTGCCCCACACACATTTCTCTCTCTCCACCTGAACTTTATTTCTCCCCTTGCCTGGCAAATACCTCTTAATGTCTGTGGTAGTGGACGTGTCCTCCCAAGCTTTCTGCTTTTGTTATTTTTTATTTCTATGCTAAGATGTCTTTCAGGGATCTAGCTTGTTTAGAGAGTCTCACATTTCCTGTCAAAAAACAAACAAACAAAAAAACCCCAAACCTTTCCTTTTGCCTACCAGGGGATTTCTGTGCATCTCATTTGACAGCCCCCCCCCCACCCCATGGTGGTGGTTAAGGGGGGTTGCCCAGCCAGGAATTAGAATCTGTTTTCTGCAAACACCCCCTGGAGAGGTTGTAAATGCCCATCATCTGTGCCTAGCAAGTGGTGGAGCCTCTGGGGGAGCCTTGGGGTGACTTGAAGTCCTGGGCTCCTCTCCTACCCTGTGAGGGCTCAATACAAAGACCTCTGGGGGGAGAGTGGCTGGGCAATGATTAGACTGAGCCTGATGTGGACTGAAGTTGGAATGACATGGGACACAGGGATGGAGGGTGGAAGCAAACCCAGAAGAAAGGGAACAGAAGAGAGCCAAGAAGAGCAGTTAATTTATTTGACTGAAGGTTAGCCTCCAGGGAAGCTTCTGGAAAGTGTGGTGAGGTGTGGGAGGTACAGAAGATATTTAAATTCCTCCAAATTGGTGACTGTCTATGTGTCTCAAATGTATGGTCAATTTTGTGGTTAAACTCTAAGGAAAAACATAAGGAATATATAAGAGGTAGTTTCCACCCTATGGCTTTTTAGTCCTATCGAGAAAAAATTACACTTACTAATGATTTTGGAGTGGTTGCAGTCTAAGTGTTTTTCACATTTAGAATTCTCAAAATAGCTGTTGTATTGCTGTTAATATTATTTTAGTAGTAGTAGAAGCATCCCAACTTAAATGATAAAGCAGGATTCATCACAAGTATGAGAAGACAAAAATGCAAAAGACATGCTGTAGGTCCCGAAAACACCAGTTTCAGTGCCCCTGGGGTGCAGGGAAGAGGCACTGAGCCCAGAGACTTGGACTCTGGTATCAATTCTACCACTTTAAGAACTTGTGGGCTCCGGTAACTTTGTTTCAGCCTGGGTTTCCTCAGCTGTGAAATGAACAAAAAAGTACAGCCGTCCTGCCCACATTGTAAGTTATCACAAGGATTGAATGGGTTAATGGTTGCTAAGGGCCTTGACAGTGTTGTGCATCATGGTGCAGCTGACCTGCTGTTTGTGCCAAACCCACATGCAATCGTCATGCTGGTCTGATGCTTGGGGCCAGCACTGGACATGCTCCTGGTCCAGGGCCAGTCCCAGTAGAAAACAACCTGCAGCCACTGTGGTTGGGGTAGAGTGGGGTGTGGTACACAGGCTCTTGAATCAAACCAATGTAAGCCAGTGTGAAAGGTTAGAAAATGTAATTTAGATGGATTTTCTCCCCTTTGTGTTTTTAGTAGGCATGTTTTCTCAGTCTGCACACATCCAAGGGAAATTTCAGCAGAAAGAAGCAAAAAAGCACTTTGGCCGTGGAAGTCATCTGCTCTCCCCGTTGGCACTTGACAGGCTTAAGGAACATTATTTCAACAATGGAGGTGTCCCATGCCTATGACCTTGGAAGGGCATGGGATTTGGGATCCAGATGTCCTCTAGATTATTTACTACCTGTGTGGCCCTGAACCAGTTACATTCTTTAACTTTTGTTTTTCATGTCTGAAATGGAGGTGTTTAAACCACCTCTAGTCCTGCTGAGGATGTAATGAGATGAGTTTTCACCCATTTAAAGAGCTTTCTAAATGCAATTTGGAAAGTAATTGTTACTATTACTGTTTCATTTCAATTTCTGCTAAAAAGTAGAACATTATCTGCTTATTTCTACTTTCATAGCCAGTATGTGATAAATAAGATGGTAAATGTAAAGGGTTTTGAGCGCCTCAAAAGATAAACTATGAAGAAGGCTTAAAGACCCTGAGTAGTTCAGCTTCCAGTACAGAAGAATTGGAGAATGGAGGAAGCAAAAATATTAGGATCGAGGAATTGATATTAACTAAGCGTGGGCAGGGGGTACAGCTCAGTGGTTGAACTCTTGCTTAGTATACATGAGATCCCCAACACCTCAGGGAGAATTAAAAAGAATGGGATATTAATTAATAGTAATGAGCGTCTATTTCCTGTTGTTTCTACAGAGTTAGATTAATGGAGAATAGGAGGGTGGACTTGTTCACAGTGGAACAAGTGTGTAGGTACTGGGGAAACCTCCTGACTTCAGCTCAGTGAACCCCAGGGGCTCTGGTAGAATCTCATAGATAATTTCATTTTATTAAGATCAGTGACTCCAAGAGGGGTTGAACACTCAACCCTTAATCAGTGATCTACTAAAACACAATAGTAAAAAGAATCAGATTTCACTGGAAATGTAAAATTATTTGGGAAGGGGAAATAACATGTTTTTCCATCAGTGTGGAGAGCACTGCTTTATGTTTATCAATGATGTCATCCAAAATCTTTTACCAGACTTATCTACATGCATTAGTGTTTCTTCTTTCCTTTCTTGATAACTTAATCTTAATGCACACTTTTTTCCCTTTTTTAAAAATACACCTGATAACTGATGGAACATCACCAAAGCTTATATAAATTAGGGAAAGTAAGTGCCTCTCCTGTATCCCTGACTCTGAGTCACCCATCCCAAGCTAGTGTGTTCATCTTCCCCCCCAAAAAAACAATACTTGGATGGCTTGTATGTCAGACAAAACAAACCTAAACACAATTGTGTGTGTGTGTGTATGTGTGTGTGCGCGCACACACACACACAAATCTGAAGTCCATTCAGTCCATTTTGCTTCTTAGTCATTTTAATGCATCTAGTGTTGAGTGCATTCTCCAATGTAACTGGTTCAGGGCCACACAGGTAGTAAATAACCTAGAGGACATCTGAATCCCAAATCCCATGCCCTTCCAAGGTCATAGGCATGAGACACCTCCATTGTTGAAATAGAGATTTGATTGCTATTTTATTTCTTCTGCTTGAACTACATTGGATCATCTTATATTTTTCTGAATTCTTAGAGTAATTTTAACATGTTCTCCAAAAATAGAACACCCTTCTTCATACCCATCTCCCTTCTAATTCCTTTGTCTCTTACCTAGGCACACAGCAAAGGATGGTCATTTGAATCACAGCTACTTGACAGACTATTGTGGACTGTTATCCAACTTTCATCAAACCCAATCTTTAAAAACATTCTGGTTGTCTCATGTTGTCAATGAGTTTGCAGATAGCTCAATTTGTTACTGATTAGACACCTTTCAGCTCCACTGACCAGAACTGAGTACCTATATGGGGCACCACTGAAGCACCTCATAAACCTGTTGGATGGATACATGGATGGATGGATGCATGGATGGACAGATGAGTGGACAAATAGATTGTATACCTGGTCAGACTCACCAAGACAATGTATCTGGGCAAACTGCCTTTAATACATTTCTTCTTAATAATTTTAACAAAATCCGAATACTAGAAGCTCAGAGTTGGAAAGAACCTCTGAATTCATCTATTCCAATCCTTGGAATGATACAGGAATCTTCATAACATCCCTAGTTAGCCCTGTTCAAAGTTCATGAGCTAAAACTTAGTGTCTATTGATCATCTATCTGGCTTCTTCTCCTTTTAGATACCTTGCCTGTCTTTCTGTACATTTTTTTTTTAAATCTTGGGACAAGTCAAAGTATAAGTGGTTTCTATTATGGGAAGAGTATTTTAGTCAAGACAAATTATTAAATTATTCGTGTTGAAAGAAATTAGTAAATACTAATTAGGGAGGTGGGCATACCTACCTCCCTTCCTTCCTTCCTTCCTTCCTTCCTTCCTTCCTTCCTTCCTTCCTTTCTCTCTTTCTCTCCTTCTCTCTTTCTCTCTTTCTATTTAGCCCTGGGGTGCTTACTTAACCTCTGAGCTACATCCCCAACCCTTTTTTTATATATTTTATTTGGAGACAGGGTCTTGCTGAGTTGCTTAGGGCCTGGCTGAGTTGCTGAGGCCGGCTTTGAACTCAAGATCCTCCTGTCTCAGCCTCTGGAGCCACCAGGCATGTGCCACAATACCACCTTGCCCCCGCCCCTAAGGTTTTACAAAAAGCCTACAGATACCATTAAGGGGTTCAAGGCAAAGAGGCTACCAGGCTGGATTAGCCCTCTGGTCTACCCCAAGGCTTCCCCCCCAGGTAGACAAAGGAGAGTTCCCCCATTTCCCAACTTCCCAGCCTGAAGCCCCTACTCACTGTAGATGGTCTGATGGGGTGTGCCATCCACTTGGCAGTCCTTGTGGATCTGCAGGTGGTAGCTGTTCCTGTCCGTGGTGGTGTACAGGTGAGTCAGGCCGCCCCAGTTGGAGGCCAACAGTGGAGAGGTGTTGGGATAGGCTCTGATGATGCGCATGCTGCAGACACCACACAGAGCACAGACCAGGAGCCTGAGGCAGGTCCCCAACATCGCTGTTTTCTGAATGGCTAGTGCTGAGTTTGAAACCTGACACTCCCTCCTTGACTCCCCAGGCCTAGCCCTGTCTTCTCCGTTCTGGCAAATAGCAGAGTGAGGAACCTAGGCTGGATTCCCTCCTTTCCCCCCTCAGACTTTTAAAGGGTAGCAGCGTGACATCAAACAGGAAAAACTCCACTGTCCACATCCTCTGTGTTGTAATCAGCCATTCAAAGAAAGTGCAGAGACTTCTGAGGCTCACGGAAGGCACGTCAGTTACACACACACACACACGTACACACACCCCTCAGTTTCAGACCAGTGCTCCCAAAAGTGAGTGATGTGTGGGCAAAAGTTATCTATGACACTGGGTCATCTGATGACCTGTCCCACTTCCACCAGGAAATGTGAAGGCAGCCAGTGGTCCCAAAAAATCCAGCTCCGGTCATGTAGTATCCCACCTCCTCGGCTGGTCATCTCTCACCCAGTCTACTCATGTTGGTTTCCTCAGTCCTTTTAACTCTAATTGCCATGTATGTACCCGGTGCTTTCTGTGTGTGCAGCATTAGGTGGGTGTCTTGATCGATATAGAGATATGTGACGCCATCAGGCAAGTGGCATCCGCTGAGACTCCCACCTCAGGAAAGATATTCAAGCTGGGATCAGGGACACAAAACCCAAAGTTGCCATTTGGGAAGATTTCAAAGTGGGCAAAGTAAAACAAGGCTTTGAGGTCACTGAAAATACCAAGGTCCGATTTCTCGGTTTCCCTAGTTGGGAGATTTAGGGCAACTGAACTGGTAATCTTGGTCTCTCCAATAGGCAGGAGATGAAATCAGAGGCTTATGGGGATTAGCAGGGCTGCTGGCTGAGCAGAAGTGGGCAGAGTGCTGGAAGCACCCTCAGCAGAGTGTTCACACGGGGTGTCTAGCTCTATGACTGGTGCCTTCTTGCAGAGGATGCTCCCAGGAATGTCCTGTGGAACTACGCGTCTGACACAGGGTTGTGGCCGTGGGGTGGTGGTGGTGGTGGTGGTGGTGGTGGTCTTAGCACATACAGTCCAAGGAGAGGCAACCAACCACACACTGGAATTAGTACACAGAAACCAAGCCCCATCACTGAGCTGCTCACTGTCCCATTCCCTTCCAGAGTTTCCAGAAAAACATGCCCCAGGAAGACTGCCATTCTTTCAGTTTCTCATTTTACTGAGCATATACTACAGATAAGAATAAAGCATAAAGCTAGACATTGTTGTTAATTAAAAGAGAATGAGATATGATCCTGTCTCAATCTAATGGAGGAGGCAGATAAAATTAAGTAACTATCATACAAAGCATGCACCGTCAGACAGACTCGGGCAAGCCAAAATGGCCTTTGTAACCCCACGGGGGTACAGGTTTTTATAGTTTACAAAGTATTTTCAAATCAGCTAGCTCATTTTAACTTTACTGCAAACTATGAGAGAGGTACTTCAGGTATTGTTACTATTTTAATGTTATTTGTGAAGAGATGAAGATGTCGGTTGAGCAAATAACTGGTAGAGGAAGGACAGGATCTTTTGATTCCCTGTGCTACTTCTCTAGTAAGAATCTCAGGGGCAGCAAATGCTCGAGAACTTATCCTTCCACTTCCTATTTTAATGCTTGTAGTAATTTACTTAATCTTTAGAATAACCCTTTAAGGAGGTACTGTTATTCCCTTTATAGAGATGAGGAAACTGGAGCACATGGCTTAAGTAACTTGCACAAATACACAACTAATTCATGGAAGAGGATGGATCTGAATCCAGTTCTGACTTAGCTCTGCTTAGCTCTTTGCAAGATGTGCAAGCCCACCCAGTATGTTACAGCCAGAGCGATGACACTTGGTAAGTACAAGTAGCAATGAGACAGAGTGCTTTTCTCTAGTAAATCAACATTTTTACCCAGGGTATGTCTCTAGCATATATGTGCTTGTCTCTAGGGTTTAAATGGAAGATGGATAACATTTAAGTGCTTATGTCTAAAACAGACTTCCTTCATAGAAGTCACAGAATGGTTTATAAATACAGCATCATAGTTTAGCTATATGAAGAAACAGCTAGCTTTCAGAATTGAAATGCACATCATTCAGAAATATTGGCCAATTGATAACCCTGCATTTCCTCTTCCTGGTGCAAATGGTAGAGGGATGGGAAGTACCTGTGAAGCAATCAGCAGCTACTGAGAAACTTCTCTGAGAGATGGGAGAGAGAGAGTTACAGGAATAAAAAGTAGACCAAATTTATCTTCTGAGTTTGACAATATGGTTAAGCTGAGAAAAACTTTGCTCGTGGCCATGTTCTATGTAAGAGCTAAATTACTAGGACGTGTAAGAAATGCCACAGGCATTCACGAGGGAGAGATTTTGGGTGTGAATGCTGGACTCAAGGTGCTTTGGGGAAGGAGAGAGTGAGGTTTGTACAAGGGGCAGGGTGTTGACCAGCACCCAAGGCGCAGAGGGGAGGATGTGCAGGTGTCCAGAAAGGAGTTCCTGGGGTGACTGTGGATGGGGCACATGTCCCTGACCAGTTGAACTCCTGCTATTAGGAAAGAGAATTGTGCCATCACTATACTTCCAAAGACTTTCCTCCAAGGAAAACCCGTGAATTCACAGCAGCTGGTTGTGAAGGCAGAGTGTGGCCTGGGGAGTGGGTTTATTTCCTGGGAGTAGGTTTATTTCTAAGGGGTCTGGGGAGGGAGGGGGGGTGATGAGACAGTCCCCACTTGGAGAGAGTAAAGGGAAATGCAAGACTGTCCGAATAATTCTTTGCATTTGTAATATAGAACAGTTGAGAGCAAAGATGAGAGTTGCCCAGTTGCATGCAGAGAGGCAGAACTTCCACCTCCCTGGCTGAAACTCCCTACCAAAGGGCTCCAGACCTGGTTTCCCATTAGAATCACCCGTGGAGCTTTAAAACCCAAAACATCCCAGGGCTGATCTTAAATCTACAGGGGTGAAGGACAGCTATTTGTGCCTTTCCTTGCAGAGCCACCTGGGAGTGTCTCATATTTAAGTATTTATCAGTGAACAGGCTCTGAGTCTCAACCACACACTGGAATGAGTACACAGAAACCAAGGCCCCGTCACTGGGCTGCTCACTGTCCCATTCCCTTCCAGAGTTTCCAGCCTACGTGTAGATTGAGATGGGCCTTTCTAGGGAATCTGAGTAGTGCATGCCCGGTTGGTCAGTGCTCTGTGCCCACAAACAGCCTTTAACTGGAGCCTCTGTGGTTTCTGAAGCTCCAGAGTACGAGGGGAAAGACACCGGTGTGTGGGTTCCTTGTCTCTGAATCTAGAGGCCCCCTTGGCCACGGTTCAGGATCTGGGAACTACTGCAACCTTAGGAGCCCAAAGTGAAACAGATGGCAGATGTGAACAGGAAGCTCATGGAGGAGGCTGCTGATTTGCACTTCTGGATGTCCCCACCCTCAGTTCCCAGTGACTGCCAGATGCAACAGAAAGGATTGTCCCAAGGCAGGTGTGCAAACGTGCTTATCTGCCTGCCTTGGGAGCCTCTGCTCTGACCTCAGGAGAGTCCCCCTGTGTGGAGGCCTCTGGTCCAGGCCCTGCACTTCCACTCAGAGGACCCAGCTCTAAAGATGAATTGGGGATGGTAGGGATCTCTAATCCTTCAAGTTCACCCATTTCCTTCATCTCCTGTCTTCTTTTTCTCAGAATCCACTCTGAGAAGGTATTGAGGAATATTATCTCTACCAGATCAAATTTTCTCAATAAAAAGACTTGATAACAATTTACAAAAAGTAACATTGGCTTGACCATCATTAGCTATGGTGAAAAATATTGAGGAATCAAGATGAAAGAAGACCTGGGAGGTAGGAGGGGAGGTGGTCTAGTGTGGTTCAAAGTCTTCTCTTGAGACTCTGTCTAAAGACCTTGTCACCAATGGGAGACCTTGTCAGACTTCTGTGCCCTGTGCCTCTCCTTCTCATGATCTATCTCCATCAGGTTAGAAAGGGTTCACCGGTACCTCACTGTCACAGGGGTGACCTCGCCCAGTCCCTGCATGCAGACAGATGTTTCTCTAAAGGCAAATGGTTGTTCCTTGTTTTCTGAAGTTCTCTGGGCGGGTGCTGCAACCTTCCAGAAAATGTCATTCTTATGTGTCTTGTCATCCTGTCAGTTAAAACATGCTTTTGGGGGTGTGGGTGTAGCTTAGTGATAGAGCCAGTGAGGCCCTGGATTCCTCTTTCAGTGAGGTAACAAATAAAAACAAAACAAAAATACACTTATTTATATCCAAGCAGATTCTCTTGCTTTAATATACTACCTATTCAATGAACACATCACTATTTAGCCAAAGCCTATTACATGGTAATACCTTGTAGAAAATCTTCAGGGAAGCATAAGAATGAAAAGTTCAGCTGTGATCTTCAGGGAACCTGCAGTTTACTGAACAGAATGGATTTTGCATTTGCCCAGCACTTCACACCTACAATAGATGCTCACAACATCTGTGTCAGTTGGTGCTCAAAACAGCCCTGTGAGATATGCTGGAAGGTGTTTGGGGTGACTTTCCCAAGAGAATCCTGGATCCTTATATACACATCCTGTGTTGTCAGGATTTAAAGGAAAATAAGAAAGGAAAAAAACACATTATTTTCAGTCTGTTGGTTTAAAAAACTAATCACTGAAGAAAATATGAAATAGAAGGTGAATATCTCCTATATAGGCTCTACCCTGTGGAGGTAAGATGTTACCAAAGGTAAAATAATATTTGTAGCTTGGGGGATAATTATACACACACACATATAATTCATATATATATATATATATATATATATATATATTCATGTAATAGATAGATGTTCTTTTAAAAAGTCAACATTGAGGGCAAACTATTTAGCATAAGCACATTCCGTCCATGCCAAAGTCTATTTGACTATCTTTCCAGGTCAGTATGTATGTCTCTCCCTCTTTTTTTTTGAATCAGGATGATATACACGACAGCAGAATGCATTACAATTCTTATTGCACATATAGAGCACAATTTTCATATCTTTGTATATAGAGTATGTTCATGCCAATTCATGCCTTTATACATGTACTTTGTGGGTTTTTTTGCATTACAATTCTTATTACACATATATACCACAATTTTTCACATCTCTGCTTATATATAAAGTATGTTGATACCCAATTCGAGTCTTCATACATGTACTTTGGATAATGATGTCCATCACATTCCACCATCCTTGCTAATCCCCTGCCCCTCCCTTTCCTTCTCATCCCTCTTCCCTATCTAGAATTCATCTTAAGAATTCCATTCTACTCCATAAGAGGGTCAGCTTTTCTTAAAGCCTTATTTCCTCCCTTCCAAGCTCTGCCCCAGAGATCTGAGGGTGATTCTCAAGGCCACAGGACTTTATAAGATACATGCATGACTACACACGTGTCCACATATTCAAATTTACGTATACACATACCTGAATACATGCACAGTAATGGCCCTGCAGGGGTGGCCCTGGTGGCTGGGGTCACCACCGTTCTCTGCTACTTCAAGAACTTACCATCTCTTACTCAAGAACCAATATGTCTCATGGAGTCAATCTCCCTCACTTCCCTTCTTTCTTTCCTATTGGTATGTTCCAGCTTCTCCTCCCCAAGACAAATTTTTCCATTTGTTTTCGTCATAGCAGCCTTTCCAAAATAAGGGCCCAAGAGAGGAAGGTCTGCTTCTAAGACATCCTGGGCAAGGGAGCCAAGAACTCAAGTGAAGTGGGAGATTGGGCCCCAAAACGGGTTCAAAACCATAAAATGTTAAGGTGCTCCTCCACGATCCTCCACAGTGAATGATTTTCACTCCCGCCTTTCCTGCCATTGAATCCCCAAGCTTCCAGTGATTTCTAGGGACCTCATGTGTGAATTTATATTGACACTGACAGTTGATGAGAAGGGCTAAGTACTTAACTTGAAAATAAGCTTTAATTTTCCAAATGCATAACATTAAATTTTTGCTACCTATATAGTTAAGAGCATAAAGATTTTTATAAGAATGCCAAATGTTCGAGAAAGTATAATTAAACATGCATAGCTGAGTGCTTGTTTATTTAGGAGTTTAGGGTTTAAAACAGCTGGAGTGAGTATAATTTTTTTTTTTTTTTTTTTTTTTTGAGACAGAGCCTCCCTAAATTGCTGAGACTGGCTTTGAACTTGCGATCCTCCTGCCTCAGCCTCCCGAGCTGCTAGGATGACAGATGTGCACCACTTGTACCTTGGCTGAGATTAAGAATTCTAAAGAACCTTGCAAGAGAGATCTGATAGAGGATGACTGGGGGGAAAATACCAATGGAGAAAGAAGCCTTGAAAGGCTTGCAGGATTTATCAGCAGCAGATGCAGGTGACAGATATCACCCAGGAGTACATAAAGTCAGCCAATGCCAGTGATACAGCCAAGAGCTCTGCAAATGCTTTTCACAATGAACATGACTCTGCAAGACATTAGGGGCTGGAGCTGGATGTATGTGCCTGACATCCCTTCATGCTGTCATTTGTGACATATGCTTGGCCCACTGCACAATGAGGAGAACTGATTGCAGAGAGGGCACACAAAATACAACTGCAGCACACAAGATTTTCTAGAGCAGTGACACTATTCTGAATCCATGGTGTTATGCATTAGTCAAACACCAAGAAATGTACAAAATGAGAGTAGAGTCCTAATTTGAACTGTAGAGGTGCTCTAATAACAATATGTCAATAGTGTTCTTCAGTTATAACAAATGTTCCACGCTAGTGTACGATGTTAATAACAGGAGAAATTGTGTGTGAGGTGGGGAGAGGGAAGAATCTCTAAGGTTCCTCCAGGGGCTTTGTCTGGATGTGGAGTGCTCGCTGGTCTTGCAGCCCCTCCAATTGTTTGCTTTCTCACCTGTTTTGCTTGATCATCAAATGTGGCTGGTGACTGGAAGAGTTTAAATTTCCTAAGAGACTTGTTTCTCTCCCATGTCTTGCTTAAAATGTCTGTCCCAGGTGAGGGATAAATGGAAGGAAGGCAGGTTTCTTTAATCTAATATTTAATATAATTATTATATTACATACTTTTTAAAGTCACTATAATATCAGTCTCAACCCAACAAATTTCCTCAAGTGTAAATCTAAAAACACAGATAGACTCCCACCGGACATTTCAGAATGAAATGCGAGTGAGTTCTGTAACTTTGCAGAATCCATGATATTGCTAAAGCTTCTGGTTCCATAACCAGAAGCTTGTTTTGCCTGGACAAGAAGAGGATTCTCAGATGCCTTCTACTGGGGACACTAGCAAGATCACAGAAGAGCTTGAGAGTGAAGGGTGAAGGATCACTTGCAACTGATCAGTAATGGCAGCCTCAATTCCTTTCCTCCCCTCTCAGCTCCTCCCCTTCTCCCCTCTCCTGCTCACAGCCTCCTCCTTACTGAAATCCCTCTCCAGCCTCTGCAGCTTATGGGAGATGAAACAATGTGTATCCCCAGGCAGGGGAGACCCAGCCTCATGAAAGTCTTCATAAAAGATTCTCTTTGGGTGATAAGAACAGCGTTATGTTTGTTCCACTCAGTGAAAAGCCAAGATGTAGGTGAGACTTAGTGGAGTCTCAATCTAAGGAGGCTGGTACAATTTTATTATCTCCATTTTGCATCACGTCTCACATTTACAAAGAACTTTCTAGCTGCATGCTCTTTGTAAAACATCCTCAGATGCAGTCTCTTGGTTTTTCTCCAGAACCCACGACATATTAAGGATCCTCATCTTTCCTATGAAGATACTGAGGAGCAATTTGTGACTTGACCAAGATCACACACCTAGTGTGATCCTTGTCTTCTTTCTCTGTATTCAAGCTCTATCAAGGACACCTGGTTTGTGAATGTCCCTGTTTCAAGATTGTATCTTCAGTGCTGAAGCCACCAGGCTGGGCACCTGGTGTGCAGAGGGCCATGATAGGGGGGAGGCAGGGGATTCGCAGCCCTGGGAACAGCGCTCCTCAGGTAAGCTCTGAATGTGTCTTCCTTAGGTAGAGGAAGAAGGAGCAGTGGTTGGAGCCCTGAGTTACTGTACCTGCAGTCTCTGCGGACTGCTCCTACCCCTCTTCTCCCATTGTGTTCTTTTGTCTGAGAGATCAGTCATGCTTCCAAAGCTGAGATTCTGCCCAAGGAAGGAACAATAGAAACTGGACTAAGAGGAACCTTGTGTGCACGCACGTGTGTGTGCGTGTGTGTGTGTGTGTGTGTCCCCACACAGGCTGCCCAATCTGATTGGCGCTCCAAGGCTGCCCAACAGGACCCAGCCCACCCTCTCAGGATGCCTGGGGCTTGTCACGCAGCCCACATCGGGGAACAGACATCCTGGTTCCTACTCACCTCCCTGGAGCCCATGACCTGGGCTAGCCTATGGTGTTTGGGATGCTGCACATCCAGACTCATGTTATCTCAGGATCCTGGGACTCCTTGGCTCCCCTGTCCTGCCTCCTCCCCTCTCTGTGGACACGTAGCCACCACACACTTCTCAGAGGGCTATTTCTAGCTGAGGGGCCGGTAATTCAGCCCCAGCCTGTCAGCTCAGGCTGTCTGTGTGCCGCAGCTGGGATGGGCAGCCTGACACGTTGTGGGTTCAGCAGAGTGCAGGATGTTGGGGCTTCCGGGGGCAGGCACCCCCCCCCCCGCCGCCGCCTGCTGGAGGTCAGGGTTGCTGAGATGTGGGGGTGAGGAACAGACAGGATGCTCCTGCTGCGTGGGAAGAGCTGGTGGCCACCAGGAGACAGAGCTTAGCCTCAGTGCTCTGTGCTCTGCCCACCGCAGCCCTTCCCTGGGGAGCACCTTTTTTCTCTTTAGCAGGCTGAGAGTTAACATAGCCTTGTGGGCTCTGGGTCAAGCTGTGCTTTACAGCACACAGGCCATCTTTGTCAAGTTACATCACCTCTCTGAGCCTCAGTTTCCTTATCTGAAAAATGGAGATAATAAAATTGTACCAGCCTCCTTAGATTGTGGGGAGAGTTTAATAATCTGCCATAGAATACTTAATCTCATGTGAAGAGGTCACATAGAGCTGCTTGGTATAGAGTAGATTTTATTACTGTTGTTGCTGTTGTCTCTTTTCTTCACCCTCCTATCATGAATTCCTTGCAGGTGACTTTCAAGGTTATTGCTATTTCCAGAGTTATCTCTGATGCTGGATCCATTTTAGATGCCTAGAAAGTATTCAGTAAATGAAAGAATGAATTCTTCCCTTAGTGTGATCTGATGGAAAGAACACTGAACTCAGCAATAAAACAAAAATATCATAGATTAAAGTGAAATTATGTAATTTGCATATGGAAAATGGATGGAACTTGAGACCATTATATTAAATGAAATAAACCAAACTCAGAAGGTCAAGGGTCATATGTTTTCTCTCACATGTGGAAGCTAGAGAGGAAAATGGAAAAGAAAGGTGGGGGGGCGGGGATCTCATGAAAACCAGAGGGAGATCAATAGAATAGAGGAAAGGGACGGTGGGGGTGGGGCTGAAGGAGGTGTTGGAGGGGGGACATGCCAGGGGAGTGATGTTGGCCAAATCATACTGCTGTATTGTGTGCATGTACAAAGATGTAACAACAAATCCACAATTATGTACAATTTTGATGCTCCAATAAATAATGTAGAAAACAAAAACAAAGCCCTGGGTTCAAATCCCAATGGTGCCACGTGGCTGCTGTTGTGGAATGGCCAAGTAAACTTGAACTCGTGTTCTCAGTGTTCTGCACTGGCCTGTTTGTCAAGTAAGGACAGTCCCTTCTGCCCAGTCTTCTTTGAAGGCTCATGAGGACAAATGAGCTTAGTGTGACACTGCTATGGAAACAGGAGCTGTACAGTTCAAGATGAATTTTTTTCTTTTCTGTTTTTGGGTATTGGGGATAGAACCCAGCAACTTACACATGCTAGGTGAGCCCTCAACACTGAGCTACATCCCCAGGCTTTTTTTTGTTTTGTTTTGTTTTGTTTTGATACAGAGTCTTGCTAAGTTGCCCAGGCTGGCCTCAAATGTGTAATCCTCCTGCCCCCGCCTCTCAAGGAGCTGGGGTAACAGGTGTGCCAGCATGCCCAGTGACAGATTATTCTTTACGTCCAATTCTTTCACATTTCACATTTCCCACTCCAGGAAACATGTCTGTTCTGTTCAACCTCTGTTCACATTACTGTGTTCAGGGCTCCATGCAGCTTCCTGAACAGAGTGTTGGTAGCACACATGTTTTCTTTAGATGTATCCCTGTATTTTTGAGGAATTCATCCATTCACCATCACCTGGCACCATGTGAGAACCTTTCACTCCCTTGCTGTCTTTCAAAGACACTCTTGAACTTCATCACTCTGTAAGGAGACAAGACTGGTACGTTCACCTTCACTTATGCACAAGAGCAGGGAGACCTGGAACAGGTTACTGGCTGACTGGAGGTGTCGTAGCCAATGAACTGGGTCCAGTGCTCTGCTTTTCTGTGCATTCCAGCTGGGGAATCCTGAAGGGATGTGGAATAGACCAGTGTTCTTCTGATGGGTCATATGGTGTGGGGGCTCTGGCTCCATGTCTGATGTGTTAATTCTCTTTGCCCATACTCATCTACTTGCCCTGTGCGGGTCAGGTTTCCATCACTGTAACAAATACTTGAGGTAATCAATGCATAAAGAGGAAGGTTTACTTTGTCTCACAGTTTTGAAGGTTCTAGCCCATGGTTGGCTGGCCCCATTACTTTTGGGCCTCTGGTGAGGCAGCACATCATGGTGGCAAGGTATGGTAAAATTGTTTACCTCTCAGCCAGGATGCAGAACAGAGGGAAAGAGGAAGGGCTGGGGTCCCAATAACCCCTTGAGAGACATACTCCCAATGACTAGAAGACCTCTCACCAGGCCCTGTTTTTTAAAGTTCTTCTATCTCCTGATAGCACCCCAGGCTGTGGACCAAACCTATAACCATGGGCTTTTAGGGAACACTTATCTGAACCATAGAACTGGCTGTCATCTTGGATGAGATACTTGGTCTCTCAGACCTTAGAAAACATGTCTATAAAATGAAGATAGAATATCTCTTAGGCAAAGTATCTGGCTCATAATACCTACTCAATATTTCCTGCCATTCCTTGTATTTTCTTAAAGCATCCAACAGTCTCTAAAAAAACATGAGCATATTCATATTATAGTTCCATTCCCACCCCATAAAGGTCTTTCAGGGTGAGGCAAAGTGAATGTTTATCCAATGAATACACATTGAATGCCTGACATATATGATGCTGTAATACATCCAGGGGTCCATGGGTGAAAAGACATTGTTCTTGCCTTCGAGGAGCTTCAAGTGTGGTGGAGGAAGCACCTGCAGAGGAGACAACCACTGTGAGTGATTGTACTCAAAATGGATGGAGTTGGAGAATATCATGATAAGTGAAGTAAGCCAATCCCAAAAAAAACAAATGAGGAATGCTTTCTCTGATATGAAGATGCTGATCAATAAGGGGGGTGGAGTGGAGCATGGGAGGAATGGAGGAACTTTAGATAGGGCAAAGGGGAGGGAGAGGAAGGAAGGGGGTATGGGAGTAGGAAAGGCAGTGGAATGAGATGGACATCATTACCCTAAGTACATGTACGAAGACACGAATGGTGTGATTCTACTTTATGTACAACCAGAGACATGAAAAAATTGTGCTCTATATGCGTACTATGAATTGAAATGCACCCTGTTGTCATATATAACAAATTGGATTTAAAAAAAAAATACTCTGGGAGCCCAGCAGGAAGAGCTTCTAGACCAGCAAGGAAAGTGAGGCTGGGCTTCACAGAGGGTGGACCACAGAGTAAGAGCCAAGTGTGATACAGGTGAGAGCATTCAAGAGAGGAGATGACATGTAGAAAGGCACAAAATCATCAAAGAACAAGACATATTTGAAGAACCATAAGAATTTCCATATGGCCAAGGAATAAAATGAGGAGAGCAGCATTGGAAAATCAGGGGAAAGGTGGTCAGAGTTGGATTAGAAGTGGTTTTCTACGGCATGTGAAGGAAATTGAATTATAACCTTCAGCCTATAGGGACACCTGGAAATTTCAAGCATGGAATTAATATGATTATATTTCAGAATGGTCACTCTGGGAATGAAACTGAGAAGGAATAAAGCTGTGCAGGGATATCAAACATTTTCTCAAAAGCTCTAAATGAGAGAAGGTAACAGGCTGTCGACTACAGCATGAACCATTTGACCTAGGAAAAAAATGCAGGGCTATGACAGATTTTCAGAAAGGACTCACAGAAGTGAGTATATATATGGGAAGGGAACACAGGAAGAAATGAAGGATGAGCCCTGGTTAGTGAGCTGGGTGCCTCTGGGAGCTATGGGTACCATCACTAGCCTAGAAGACATTAGGGAGTAGATCTGGTCAGAAAAATGAGGGGTTTGGTATTGTTAGGCTTGGAGGATATAGGTGATTGTGTGACTTTCAGGAGAGAGACCAGGCCTCCAAGTAGAGAAGTGGAAGTTATTGGCATAAAGGTGATAGTTGAAGCAATCCTAAGGTTGGATCATCCAGGGAGAGCAATGGACTAACAGAGGAAGACCCAGGATATGGAGTACTGGTATTTCAGAAGAGAATGGAGGAAGAGGAACCCCTAAGCAAGATTAAGAAATGTAGAAACCTGATTTCTGACTCTTGGATTAACTCCCTTGGTTACATATAGTGGATTCCTAAAGAAGAGAAGATGTGGAGAAGACGCCCTGTGGAATTGCACCGTCTTTGCCTTGAGCTGGAGCTTACACACTGGTGACCTGGCATGGCCAGTGCTGAGTCCAAAAGGCCCATGATTGACTTGAGATGTTGATAGGGCAGCTTCCTCTCAGCCTCTTTCCTCATGCTTCCTCCTGGTCTTGACCCTTGGGGTCTTACCTCCACAGTTGCCAAAGGAGGAGATGAATAAACACTTTAAAATAAAGGGAAGATCAAGGGCTAGAGCAGAGCTGATCTAGCCACCTCCTTCTCCATCCTAAATCTCATATCCAGTAGGCTTCTATCTGGGCAAGGAGAGAAGGAAAGGAATAAAAGGGGTTTTAAAATAAAACATTTAATCTATTGATCTTTTGGGGGAAATTTGATACATCTCACTGTATCACAACTGAACCTATTGATCTTACAGCTTCATCAACATTAAGTAATTGACTTCCCGGATGCTGTTGAGTAATCAGCTCTTTCTGCAGAGGTCCACAAGAAGGGACTTTAAGATGTGTGCAGGTCCCTTTCATATATTTGCAAATGCTTCATTCATTCCATTAACACTTTCATCATTCACAAAGTTTATCTTAAGATTAGTAGTGACTAGTTTGGCTTTGCTTTTAGCCTTAAAGGGTTTTTATTCTATTTTTGGGGGGGGATGCTATATAGAATATATTTCTGGGTTTCTGGCCTCTTCATTTGTTGTTGACCACTGTCTTAGACACTCCTGTGCAGTTGCTCAAGCTCCAGGTGATGCCTAAAAGGGATTTTGGTGGCTAGGAAGAGGGCGTGGTGAGATTTAATCCATAAACTGTTTTCATGTATAGTTTATTTTACCTACTAAAAAGCCCTAGCTGCTGGTATCAGAACCCTAGTGTACACCCCTCAGAGGAACAAACCATTTGGTTTTTACTCCATTCCCCTAAGAGACTCCATTCCTCCACAGATTCCATGTCCCAACAACAGTCTTAGACTCTCTCTAGAGATCAGAATGGATCCTCAATGATAAGGGGGGGGGGGAAGGAAAATGAGAGAGTAGGGGCTAAAGGAAGCAAGATTTCCAGAAAGAGGATCCAATCAACCATGTCAAATATTTTTAGGAGGAGATATGAACTATGGGACCAAAGAATCTGCAAACTTCCATTTATGATTTTGCAAAGAGGTGTTTCAATGGAATAGAATTGGAGACTGAATTGGGTGGAGGATAAGTGAAGACAAATGGAAAAAGGAAAAAATGGGACCAGATACTGTGGGCATTCTTTTTTTTTAATATTCTAATTTTTTATATATGACAGCAGATTGCATTTCAATTCATATTCCACATAGCACAATTTTTCATATCTCTGGTTTTACACAAAGTAGAGTCACACCACTCGTGTCTTTCTACATGTACTTAAGGTAAGGATGACCATCTCACTCCACTGTCTTTCCTACCCCCATGTGGGTGTTCTTTTGAAGTGAGGAAAACAATGATGGAGAAAGACAGAGGGTGATTTTCCAAGTCAAACAATTAACAAATTTAAAAGGAAAATGCTGTGTGTGTTAGATCACAAAAAGAAAATTTTTAGAGAAATATTACTACCAACCCTCAGTTATTTCATTTGTTCTAATCATGGGACTTTGGCTTTGGAAGGACTTATAGGGCCAATGTCTGACTGTCTTCTTTAAGCA